TGAGCAAATTTAATCAACACATTATAATGTATACAAATAAAACAAACAAAATTGCAAACTTATACTTGCTAAAACAACACTATACCAAATGATTAACAAACTATTCGGACGTACACATAATAATCAAACGAAATACACAAGCATACATACAATCTATTTGAGTATAAACTCAAATAACAAAGAGTACAAATGCTATAAAGAATTAATAATGAAATCAGACAAAAATAACAAATAACATCAAAGTTATTGAACAAAACACATTCATACATTAATACACAATGCTTAAACGAATGATTAAATGATGAAAACACATGAACAAATTAATTACACACACACAAAAGCCAATTGCTCAAAGCCAACCTTCTCGAATTGAAGGGGAGTAATAGCATATATTCACAAACATAAAATTCACAAAACATAAAACATAACAAATAATAGAAACATAGTGAACAATTAAATGATGCAGAAATATTGACTATGTCACTATTTAACCTTGCACATCCTACAAAACATAATTACAAAGTTATTACAACAAATAAGAAGTGAATCTGTTGAATTCAACAATGAAATACTTATGCAAGAGACATTTTCTCTGAAATCTTTAATGGTCACACCATACATGGCACCAATTGAATGTATTACAAACGAATATATTATGGAGCATATACCTAAACACAAAGAAGTACACTACATACAAAGATGTCAAGCAGAAAAGCATCTCTAGTACATAATGAACTATACAGAAATATTGAACACAACTACACTTTCCTCAAATGGAACATATAATACATTGAAAATAACGATCACACATCATGCAAAACTTACAACACTTATTCCCTAGCATGCAGGACATAATAGTAAACAAATAATCAACCAAACAAAGTAATATTTGGACAGATAATTAAGAATTAACACAATGTAGCCAAGGAATAGCACATATTCCCAAAGCAATCAATGCTAGACACACAAAGCACTCGTGTAAGTTAATTAAAAGAAGCAACAGACATAACAGCAATCAAAATGTTAATCCTTTCAAAGTAAACAAGATAATGTTGATCATAATGAACAAAATGAGCAATACACTCAAAATTAACAAAATAAATTCATATCTCATAACAAACACACACATATATTCAGTGAATAAAGCAAATATAATGATTAAAACAATATCAAACAGAATTTGACACAAAATAAGTGATAAAACAAACGAATATTACAATATATGATGAAAAATAGAACTGTGAAGCACACTACTTCATCTATCTACAAAATAAAAGCAACAAACGTGTATTATAACTGTGCAGAGCAATATATTAATTGAATAAACATTACACAATGATAATAAAACATTATCACAATGATAAAACAATACAAACATACAAATAACATTATAGTTTGTAAAAGTTGAAGGACACATTAAATGATAATGAACACAATGCACACATATAACAATATAAAATATATCTATTGCAAAACAGCAAAACGATACAAACGTACCATATGTTTAAAACATAAATAATGTGTCTAAACAGACTTACAAACGGTCAGATGATAAAACAATACAAATAACAGAAGAATAAAACCTCAATCAACCTTGATATGAAGCACTCTGACATATCATAAATGATATTACAAATTGCAAACAATACAATGCTTCAATATAAAGGCATAGAACTACTATTAAATGCTTAAAAAGTATGAATACGAAACGAACACAAACAAAGATGATACATGATGAATAGAGGACATTATAATAACATTAACAGCACATTTTACAGGTATGATTCAACAGTTTCATTGCAAAAGTAAAAGTGGAAAAACTACTAGTAACACAATTCAAATGTGCAAAAATACAAATTAACAATGAACAAATTAATAACACACACATTGTTATTAAATATAGTATTAACTATACAAACAAAACAATACAAACGAATTACAATGATAATTACACTTCAAGTGTAAGAATACAAAACAAACTACATGTATAATAATACAAATACAAACAGAGCAAATAACAGAACAACTGTAGAACAATGCAGTATGATAAAATAAACATACTATAATACAAAACAAACAATATGACATGAAAAACGAACGAAACAAAGTTATATCATATCATATTATATTGCAAACAAGAAAAATACTATCATACAAATGATAAAACATTATAGTGACAACTATAATAGTAATAATAATAAAACTACAAACGAACGAATGCTAAAGAGATCCTGCAACTCTCTTGGCAATAAAAATTGAATTAACAATCGATTTATTACATTGAACGTTATAATAATACATTGGACGAATGCAACACTTACAGTAGACTTAATATACGAAGCAAACAAAACATTTACATTACAGATGTAAATGATATTAATAAAAACAACAGACAAACACATATCAAACATTATATTAGTCTGATCAACTAGTATAAGTTTGAAGGGGAGTGTTAACATTTATTTTGGATAAATGTGTCATATGTCTCAAATCACACAAACGTCTCACAAATATACACTATTGCTGAGACATGTCTTCTGAGACATACATCTGAGACATACAATATTAGATAGCATATATATTACTTCAATCTAAGGACAATGAAGCTCATTAAGAACTTATGCACAGTTGACTCATATTGACACTTACACACTATGAGTGGAGTCTACTGAACCCCTACTAGTGTGACTTACTCTTAGTATCCTTGTGAGTGGCACACAAACCTACAGAAGAATATTTCCTATTGATTAGGAAACATTGCAACCTCAACACACTAACATTAGCCTTAGATTGTTAATAGAACAAACAATCTGTTAGAGAGAACAACCTTTCTGAATATGTTTTAGATACACTTTCTATTACAAATGAACTTATTAACCTTCAGACACAAGCAAATAAAGTGTCTGTCTTCTCTGTAGAAGGAGCAGTTTGTGTTGTAGAACAGTCTTATAGAGTAAGTAGATTGTGTGGATTGTACAGATTATATACTTGTGTTTCCTACAAACAGGGAACTAGTCTTATATTCAAACAAGTCTAACTTGCTTTAGAATGAGTAGAGTAAATTAAGAATGGTAGCCATGTTTGTATCTTCTTTCTTTATCAGAACTGTTCTAGAACTTGTTGTTCTAGACACATTAGCTTTCTTTCCTAAGTATTACAAAGCTATACCTTCCTACATAAGCTTGACAGTCTTAACAACTTTAGTGTATGTGTATACTATACAACTGTTATAGTTAGGGTTGTAGGCTAGCAAATAGAGAGTTAGCTGATCTTTAAAGGCACCTGTAATACTATTAAGGAATGCTTTGTTCTAGTCTTCTTTCATAATTTCTTTCTTTGAGACTAGAAAGCTTACTATCTTCTAGAATTTGTACTAGTACTCTATAAACTCCTCTTAGTTCTGAATTCTAGTAACAGTCTATTGTTAAACTAGGATATAAAGATCATTCTTTACATAGTAGTAATCACAGTTGAGGGACAGATATAATCTGAGAATTACTACTCAAGCAGCTTACTAATCTAAGGTACTGTCTGTAGCTTTAGGAATTAAGGCTCAGATCTTAAAATTAGATTAGTTAGTATAATATTTTACTCTCTAAATAAGCTGTTGATTAGAAAGTTGGAACTCATCTCTAATCATTTTTACTTCTTTAAGGAACTATACATTAGTTCTATCATAATAGAGAGTATTACAGCTTGTTTAGTGTAGGGGCAGGCTGGTCTGTTCTCAGATTGTAACTAGTAGAGTATTTAGAATGTTAGTTGTAACTAGTAGAGTATTCAGAATGTTAGTTGAGACTGGCTGGCCACTCAGAGTACTAGTTGTAGTAAGTAAGCTGCTTGGATTATTCTGTAAGCTTATCTGTTAAGACTAGAAACTTATTAGATTGTTCTGTATACTCAGAACAGTCAGAACAATCAGAAGTAGTAGAAATGCTAGAGTAATTGTGTAGTCCTCTTCTTGAACAGATAGAACAGGAGACACAGAACAAGTAGAGTTGTGTGTAGAGGTTAATAGAAACAAACTAGGGAACAAACTATAAACCATAAATAGTAAAGCTGAGCTAGATTACTTAAGAGGTTGTATAGAAACCCCTTTAGAAACAGGACTGAGTGTGTAGAATACATGTTGTAAGAGGTTATAGTCAACCAAATCTAATTTGGGTCCAGAATCTGATTCTTCTGTGATTGAGTTAGTGTACTCTTAGTAGTACTACTACCTGTTAACTACTTGGCCTACTTAAGACACCTTAAGAAACCCCTCTTATAGTAGGCTCTAAAATGTCAATCTTAAGTACTAGTTAAGGTAGAAGAGGTCAGTTGAGTCTGTAAGGTACAGACACTAAGAGTGGTCAAGAGTGAGAAGGAATAAGTAGATTTAAGCAGAATGTACAAGTTCTGAAGGTGACAATTAATAAGATGAGAGTAGTGTAGAACAACAAAGCTGTACTTTAGAATGAGGCAATACAAGACAAGACAAGGTAAGAGGGAATGTTTACTAATGAGACTGTCAAACTACCTACTTAGAGTTGTAGTAGAGAGTAACTTGATTGCTAGAAAGTACAAATTACATGAGAGTATTTATAGAAATTATGAGTCCTTTATAGCTACTAGTCTTTTGTAAACAAATCTACTACTATCTCCTTTGTATCAACCTATCTAGGACTCCAGATCCAAGTCCCCTTTGTATTGATTGACTAACTGTCTAAAGACTTAGAGTCTTACCTTTGTGAATCAGAACTATAGTCTAGAACCTAACTAGTCTGAATTGAGCAACTAAGACTATTGTGTAAGTAATAATAATGTAATTGAAGGATTGCTAACATGAGAATGATACAACTTTAATGTGACTAAGCCCTTCTGATCAGAACATATTAGAATGTATGTATTGTATGAGTATGACAATAGACAATTGTAAAGAGTTCCTACTTGTATGCTAGATAGTTGTACTGTGTACTATTATATAACTTAGACTCAAATGTTACAGGTCTTACAGTTTTCTATAAGGATCTAACACTAAGAACTGCTCTAGTCCTAGAGTCACTTACATTTGTAGTTATATAGATTTGCTCACTCAAGTTATAGTCTATAGTAGTAAGGCACTCCCTACTAGTAACAATTGACTTAATAACTTTAAAGGCCTACTAATGTTCTAGTTTCTATTCCAGAAAAACCTTGTTACAATCCTTACTTGTAAACAGGGAAAGAACTACTGTGTACTCTACTAAGTATAGAAGGTATACTACAATATAGTATAACAGTCTGAGGAACTTACAGATATTCTTTACTCTCTAAGACTGTAGCTATTATAGAATGTGCTTAACCTTGTCTAAGTCTGCTTCTGTCCCCTTTATAGTAATCAGGTGTCTAAGGAACTTAACCTTTGTATAGAATAGTTTAGTCTTCTTCTGTAAACAGATGAGCCCTTTGTTACAGAGTGCTTGTATAACCTTTCTAATATTCCTAATATGTTCCACCTTAGACTCTAACCAGATAATAATGTTATCCAAGTAAATATAACAAATTTTCCTAATAAGATACTCTAGTACCTTTGTAACCTACTGTTATTGTGTAGCTAGTACATTATATAACTCTATTAGTATAACTGTCTATTCATACAACCTAAACAGAGTACTAATTATAGTAAGCAGAATATGTTCCAGGTTTATACATGTTTGAAAGAACACATTAGTTATGTCAATCTTAACATATATGTGTTCTTAGATAGTGTCATTCATAATCTTATTAATGTAGAGAAGTAGGGTACAATTGTAGATTGTGTTACTATTTAGTACCTAATAATTGTATACCATTTGTAAGAGGTCTACAGGATCTGCCTTCAGGATGAGGAACACAGGTGATGTATATAGGCTTTCTAACCTGTACAAACAACCTGTATAAGTATACTAATTAATGAGTGTGTGTTAAGCCTCCTAGTATTTTTGTAGACAAGTATAAGATTGTGTAGCTACTACCTTAGAAGGATCCTTAAACTGTATTTTATGAGTAATACTTTTAGGAAGCTCTGTAACTAGTAGTATAGTGTCTAGGAAGTAGTCCTAATATTATTACTTTAGTTCCCTATCTAATGTCTTAAATCTTTCTAACTCAGCTAGAGTTTCTATACACTCTTAGACAACTACAGTTAAAGTTAGTATAGACTCTAGGGTTCTACAAGTTGGCTGTAGGGTACAAACCAGTTTTACAATTTCCACTTTCATTAGATCATAGTTAGAATCCTTTAGAATAACTGTCTAGCTTTCTATGTTAATAATAATCTAATTCTTCTAGAGAAAGAGTATACTAAGAATCATTTCATTGTACAAGTTATTAACTATATAAGCTTTTACAACCTTTGACATTCATTTCTAATCTACTAACTACACCTGTAGCTTTACTTACTCTATAATCTGTTTCTCTGACTCTTTTACTGATTTGATTGTTAGAGTTATAATAATGTGTTTCTTAAGTAGGAATTACTTAAAACACATTCAGGACACTAGTTTCTTATTAATCAGAACTGTAGAACAACTAGAGTCAATCATAAGTTGAATCTGAATCAGAGTAGAACTATCTTCTGTAAGGATACAGTAGTTTAGAAATAGGAGAGAGTCAGAAATCTGAACATACTCAGATTCATCTCTACTTATAGGTTCTAGTACTATAGACTACTTTGTTTGTATAAGAGTAGTAGACTTCTGCTTCAGACATAAGGACTCAATATACACTTCTGTAATAAAGACTATGTCTTCTAGTTTAGGTGGACCTGTTAGACAACTGTCTCCTCTATGATTTACAAAGGGTTTATAGTATTAGAAACATTCATAGTTCTTTATTAGAAGCTAGCACTCTGTATAGAATAAGCTAATATACTTTACAGTACTTTCTGAGGTAGTCTTTAGACTGACTGTTATAAGGATAACCTTTCCTATATACTACTTCTCCTGATCCTTCTTCCAGGCCTGTTCTACTGTAAGTATTACTTTTATACTGTTGTAAACCTTTATATAGTCTACTTCTAACTATTCTACTAATTTATACACATGTTCTAACTACTTACAAAGTCTAGCACAATCTGTTACTTCTTTTCCTAGGACTGGTTCTAGAGTTAGGAGGTGATCTGTAGGATCAGGGATCTAGCTATTTACTAAGGTTATTATATACAACCTTTCTGTATATGTTACAAACTACTTAGAATGTGTTAGGACCAAATTTACAAGTGTAAAGTAAAGCTTGAACTAGAGGTCTAAGTGTAAGTTAGCTTTAAGAAGTTTGTAAAGTCTATTAGAATTAAGGTACTAATCTTCTAAAAGACTAAAGTTGATTCTAGTAACTTATAGCTACTATTCTTAGAAGTTGTAACTATCTTACTATATTACTATGTAAGGAAACTCACTGTTCCTCACAAGAGAATTCTAATCACTCTTAGTTCACTCAACTACTGACTAGGATAACCTAGTACTTGAGTGAGGGGTTAGGGGAAAAGAATCCTCTTTACTCAGTAGTCAATACTGTCTTTTATAAGGGTATACATGTGTAGATACATAAGGAGAAAGTGTAACTAACTACAATGAGAATATATGTACTTGTAGGTCCTACTGTACAATGATCTGATACAATCAGCAATGTAGTAATAGTAAAATATGAACCAGTAAATCAAATCCTTACACTTGCCCTCTAGCATTTAGTCTTAAATGCTAAAAATCAGTAGAAAAGGTAGAAAACTTACTTAAAAGTAACAGTTAGTAACAAGTAAATAATAAAATACCTTGCCCATACATATGGGAAACATCCTTGTAATGTATTACTGCCTCTCTGAAGTGATCCAAAGTTGATCTGGTGAGTATTAAGACAGTAGTAGTGTTCTAGACAGTAGGTAGTATGGTTCTAAACTATGTAAAGCTAGATAAAACATCTATAAAATTAAACATGGTCATTATTACTGTATAGTCAATTAGTAGGAAAGTTTCCTCTTGATTGTTACTATTGATACAACACTTTTCAAAGGGAATCAGTAGAGTTCCTAGGGAGATATAGTGTTTTGACTCTTGAGTATTCTGAAATGTACAGTATAGATTAATATGTACAGAAGTGGAAATTCTGGTAGTACAGTAATTACAAATATTCTCTTCTCCTGCATCTTCAGGAAGTGTAGAGGTAAATCCCTGATCAACAAAGCTATAGCCTTCTTCCTTAATAGAATGTATTAGTATTACAGCTTCTAGCTGACCTTGCATGTTTCTCTACTCCTGTAGAATAGTTATACAATGATAGGTAGTAGAGATGTATTCCAAAATTCCTCTACTATGTCCTTGATTTTTCTAATAGACTAGTTCCTGCAAATGTAATACCTTGTACTTGTATTAGTAGAATATCTCTAAGTGTGTACTCTTTTGTGTACAATAACCAACTGTGATGCAAAACTGGATATCCTGTTAAGCTCAATGTCCAAATACTACTAGATATGTGTGTATATACATAGTATCTCTGTGTATAATGAATGTCCTACTGTATTCTCATACTGTTTCCTTGTGTCTTGACTCATTTGTGTCTTTGTAAGTTGACTGATTTGATTCCTGAATTATCTGAGTATACTTTCAATGTCTCATAGTGTGATGTTCTATTACAATGTGTCCAAGTAGTGTTCTCTACTTTCCTGAGTACTGTAACTGTCTGTATACTGTGTTATTCCATGTATGTCTTAATGAAAAGTCCTGTCTGTATGCACAGTAGTACTGTCTGAAGTCCTGAGTGTATGCTACTAATTCTCTGTTCATTTAGCAAATCCATGTGTGGATTAATACATTCTAGTATTAACTTCCTGTCTTTCTGTGTACTTGTCCTTGTACTAATGTATTCTTTCCTTGTGTACCTATCATGTGTCCTGTTTCCTGTAGTACTGATACTGTCTGGTCCTGTAAAGTCCTTTGCAAAATCGTTCTGTAGCAATCCAAGTAAGAAAATTGTATGTTCAAACATGATTGTATGCTCAAAGAGTGTGTATGTAATGTAATATGTGTGCCTCTTGCCCTCTTGTTGAAATATGACTTTATTTTCAGTGTAAAACATCTGGTACTGTCCTAGAACATATCTGTAGTGTCTGGAGAGGTCTTCTGTATGATTTTGTACTTCAAACTGATTGTAACTACTTATTCCTAGAGTAGATTAAACTGTATCATTGTTTAATAGATGTTCTTGAGCTTCCTAATACTCTATTTCTCTCTAGAGTGTTGAAATATCATTCCTGAATGCTTGAATAGTCTGATCAATCATTCCTAATTCACTATTGCTCTGATGTTTGCTGACTGTATGTATATTGCCTTTACTTTCTTTTAACAAGTATAGTGGGAGTGCCCCAAGTACTCTCTCCTATTGA